ACATCTTCATGTGTCATGGGACCTTGACCTGTAGGTTGCTTTCTCGAGTTTACGAATTTTTTCAATGCAAGATTTGTTCCAATATTGTTGCGGAAAGTACACTCGTGCATTTCAACGACCTTGTAACCTTGTTTTCTGAGGTAACTCGTTGCAAGTTTGGTTTTATTTTGTCTCATTTCTAAGAGTTTGTCGTTTTTGACATGTCGGGTCAACCAACAACGATGCCCGTGCCAGTACCATCCATGAAACTGAAGCACCGTGTTAGTCTCCTCGTCGTATCCGTCCACTGGGAAGCGACCAATTTTTTTTTCTTTACCTGAATTCAACTTGTGTTTGATGTCTTTATATTTCCCACAGTGGGTCAACCAATCTAACCAATCATATGCAATGGTATATTTATCTCGCTTTCTGGGTTTAAAATTATAATCTAGGTGGCGGCGCACAAAAGCACCGACGGGCATCTCTTTTCCTATGCAGTATAGATATAATGCATTGGCGTCAAAGCCGATAATTCGACCGCATGGCTTTTGCGGATTACCACGAATGAATGACCTTTTTGTTTCGTGGTAGCGTTTGAAAATAATGCTCGGTCCTCCAATAATGTTTTGTTTGATCGTGTCGTACAGATCTTCATTTTCACGATCGATCAAAGCAAAACTGGCCCCCTCTTTCGTACCACTTTCAAACAACATTCGACGCGCAAGACCTGGTACCGATATACTACATTTAAATATATCAATGCCGCGCTCGAAATAATATTTCTGCAAATTCTTCACCGCTTGTAGGAACGGTTCGACGTCAAGATTGTTATACCGGACGAGGAAATCGCGAAACGTTGTCATTTCCTTCTCGTCCCACACTCTTTGGCAGAAGACATATTCTTCGTCGGTAATGTTGGCATTTTTGAGACTTGAATAAAAAGCCTCGTGAGGCGGCAGTCGATCATAATCGAGTTTGTCTACACCGTCAAGAAATTGGTACGGGAAAAAACCCTTGGATTCTTGAACATCGAACGCTTTCAAAAATCCCGAATAATTAATACCAGGACTCAGGTATTGAGAAATATCTAAGAATTTAAATTTACTGGTACCTATGCACGAGTAAGAGTTATTCCGCTTGACGGTGAAAACGGCGTTTTCATCGAGTCGAAGGTGTTTAACTAGGTAACTCTTAACTAAATTAATGTCGTATTTAGCCCAATTGAACCCAATGCAGATTATCTGTTCACAGTAATTTTCGAATTCCTCTTTCAATTTTTTCGATTGCTTTTCTTCTTCATCTATCATCTTTTGAATTTCCCCATCGTCCCCAAGGTACTCAACCAAGTCATCGCCGTTTACACCATCGAGCACGGAACTATCGAGGGCATCAAACACATCTGAAAATTTTTGTTTCGTCAATTCCGCTGCTTTTTGACCAATTAATGACATGTACTCTACCATTTTTTCGATAAGGGTATCGATATTTGTCTCAACGATACATCGCGGTTCCGTGTGATCATTAACATTTGAACACACGCTGACGGATATGGGGACGTGTTGCTCTGTGTATTCAAGATTAGCACTGTCTTGACCATTTATAGGTATCAGCATGGATTCAAAGTCGTAGACTAAAAACCATTCATGCAAACGATCACTGGAATTGACAGTGATACCGTATTGTTCTAACTTATCAAAAATGGTGTTTGGAGGAGAATAAAAACCACCCGAGAATTGTCTCTTTGTTCTCCCTGTGCATGCTCGTTGGTGTCTTTTCATGTTTTTGAAATACCCAAAATGACGATGACATGTTTTGCATTGAAATTTTTTGGCGTACGCATCGAATTTTGCAATGTATGATAAATGATGTTCGAAGAAATTTAAGTACATGTCATTTGAATATTTACAGTGTGACTTGTATACGACACGAGCAGTCTGATCTTCCTCCAAAGAAAACACATTAACGTTAATTTCAAAACATTTCTCAAAGTAGACTAGTTGATCTAATGTAATACCAGGAAATGTATTTGAGTTTGAATTTATTTCTTTGTTTTGCATTTCGTTAAAGGAGACCCATTTTTTAAATAGCTCTTGGGTTTGACTCTCCAACAAAGACCAATCTTTATTCTGGTGATATGCTATACACCGGAAAGCACAAAGGTTGTCTTTATATACACGACCTTTCCAATCCGCTGTCATGGAAATGATGGATTTCGATTGCCTGATGTATTCGGGCACAGTAACTCTACCGTTACCCAAAACGAAATTTAAATGATAAATGACGATGCGGACATTTGTGATCAGAAATGGTTTCCACTTTGTATCGGGACGCTGACGCAAAATATAATCAGTGATGTTTAATTGCTGCATGCGATATTGTAAACGTTTTAAATGAATTCGTCTCGATACGTAAATGGGTCGTTGAAATACCTCTTGGTTGTGATAAGGCTTAAAGTATCGATATTCACATGTTTCTGTGTTTTTCAATATTAACCCAAATTCTAAATTTAAACGGAAGGCTTTTTCTTGACGATCATAAATTTCGTTTCCTGCTTGCGTAATTTCGGAAACGGTGAAATGATTATCAATAGGAAAGTTGTATACACTATAAACATTTCCTTCCCGGTGTCTTCTCAAGATTAAAGGAGCATTCGTCTCATATACTTCCTTTAATTGTTCATCGATTCTGTCGCCTTCCCCCCATGGCGGAGACCCATTCCCCCAGGGTCTGGGTTGTAACAGACCTGCTCCTATTTGAACATGGTCATTCATCTGATGAACGTACAATGTTCGTCGACAGTCAAATCTTTGATGACATGTCCGACACGTATAGCCAAAAGAAGCATCCAAAATGAGAATTAAAAAAGAATTAAACTTCATTAGAAAGATTGTAACAAAATACTAGTATACGATTGACCATCAATTTCGTAAAATGTCTGTTAGATTTTTTTTTATTTTACCTTCGGTGCGTGGTCCTGTTTTTGTTGTGTTGATGAATTTGATGATCTTTGTTCATTGTTCTAAATCAAAAACCAGAAGTCTCTGATGAGACTGTAGCTCTACTGGTCTGTACATATAACAAAGGAAAAGTAGCACTTGGATTTGAAACTTTGCAACATGCAGCAATAATAGAATAATGTATCTGAATGAAGTCTACTTGTGTGCCAAGTTATTTTAATATCAGACCAAAACTGAAGGAGGAGTAGCGTTTTAAAGGAATTTCACAGAAATTTCTATTTTAGTAACCATGACAACATCGTTCATTGAAATCAAAAACCGATGCACTAAATTATGTATCTTAGTGTAGTCTACTTGTGTGCCAAGTTATATTGAAATCAGACTAAAACTGTAGGAGTAGTAGCGTTTTAAAGGAATTTCACAGAAATTTCTATTTTTAGTAACCATGGCAATACCGTTCATCGAAATCAAAAACCTATGCACTAAATTATGTATCTTAGTGCAGTCTACTTGTGTGCCAAGTTATATTGAAATCAGACCAAAACTGTAGGAGTAGTAGCGTTTTAAAGGAATTTCACAGAAATTTCTATTTTTAGTAACCATGGCAACACCGTTCATCGAAATCAAAAACCGATGCACTAAATTATGTATCTTAGTGTAGTCTACTTGTGTGCCAAGTTATATTGAAATCAGACCAAAACTGTAGGAGGAGTAGCGTTTTAAAGGAATTTCACAGAAATTTCTATTTTTAGTAACCATGGCAACACCGTTCATCGAAATCAAAAACCGATGCACTAAATTATGCATCTTAGTGTAGTCTACTTGTGTGCCAAGTTATATTGAAATCAGACTAAAACTGTAGGAGTAGTAGCGTTTTAAAGAAATTTCACAGAAATTTCTATTTTTAGTAACCATGACAACATCGTTCATTGAAATCAAAAACCGATGCACTAAATTATGTATCTTAGTGTAGTCTACTTGTGTGCCAAGTTATATTGAAATCAGACCAAAACTGTAGGAGTAGTAGCGTTTTAAAGGAATTTCACAGAAATTTCTATTTTTAGTAACCATGGCAACACCGTTCATCGAAATCAAAAACCGATGCACTAAATTATGTATCTTAGTGTAGTCTACTTGTGTGCCAAGTTATATTGAAATCAGACCAAAACTGTAGGAGGAGTAGCGTTTTGAAAAATTGTTTACAGACAGACGGACAGACAGACAGACAGACAGACAGACGGACGGACGACGGACACCTTACTATCGCATAAGCTCTTCTGGTCTCTGACCAGTAGAGCTAAAAATCAAGTTCATGTGATGAACGAATCATGAATACAAATTTTAAGAGATTGTTGCCTCACTGCAAATTTATATAGATATAAAAAAAAAAATACCTCAAAGCTGTTGTCTTGTGCTGATGTTGATGGTGTTGATGCATCGTTGTTCTGCTTTAATTAAAAAAGACCAGTTAATAATATATATTAAAAAAAATATGAATTTTTTATATAAAAAGATTCAAGAAAATAAATGTCATAAATTACAACAGATCTGTTGCTTTTGTTTCGTTGCATTGACGTCGTGGATGTTGTTGGAAAATTCTTCTAAATAAATAGAGAGAGAATTAGAAAGAGAGATAAGATCTATCCTTTGTTATTATTTTTTATTTTAAACAGCATTTTTTTTTTCGTAATTATAAATCATTATAAAGTTTTGAATGCTGATCACTAAAAAAGACAAACTCGGGATATTAATTAAGATGTCTGGGTCATTCTACTAATCGATATTTTAAGTGCTCGTTTCCCGTGTTGAACGGAGGTAACTTGAATAATCTTTAAAAAAAATCCCGGATGATGATGTGTAAAGAAGGAATATAGACGTACACGTGTACTGCTTTTCCAGACGGATTAATTACACACACTGTATTTGTTTTATATGTAAAGAGTAAAAAGGGATTTTTTTTTGGTCTATTAAAGCATATAAATAAGCCTGCGCTCAATGTATTTTTTCACTTCCTAACTTGTACCTATAGTATATTCATCAATATCGAGAGAAAAAAAAAATAAAATGTCTGGAAGAAAAGGTGAAAGTGTAAGTATTGTATTTAAACATATTTTATAAAGTGCGTAGAAAGATTTTTTTTATTTTCAAAGATTATTTTCATCTTCCTGCGATATCTAATATCAAATGAAGCGAAAAACTATCTTTTAGAAGAATTCTTTACAGCAGATGTAATGCAAAAAAAAAAAAAAAAAATTGTTAAGTTTTTTTGAGTCATGAAAGCTAAAAAAAAAAGATGCTAAGGGACAATAACTCATTCTCATGTACATGTATCCTCATTCAGACCAATGATGTGTGGTTAAATTCCCGGGTCATTGTAATTGACTCAACCCCTAGAGGGCCTAGATTTCGTCAGGTATGTTTTTATCATTTTGATTTTTCTAATTTTCTATTTTTTTAAATTGTAAATATATGGTTTTGTGCTTCTACGATCAACAAAGAAATGTAATAAATAAACTATCGATTAAACAACGAATGTTAAAGAATGACAAATACATTCATGAAAATTAACTTAATAAAAAATGTAAATATGTATTTTTTTTTGTAGGTGAGGAGACGAATAAACTTCTCCTCGGAGGCTGGGGATGGTGCATGCGCGACCCCAACACCTGCAGCGTCCCCCAAAAGTCCTGCAGATACGGTACATGTATCTTATATTTTCATTAACAACGATTTTCAAAATGTGGTACTATACCTTGCATGTCTGCTGGTGTCTTTGATACTTTCTCTCGTCCGAGAATTCAGTGCAGCAGTTATCACACTTAAATAATTTATCCTTATACTCCTTGTGGACATGTAATGTGCGATGCGATGAAAACTTAAAAGTATAGTCGCATTAAAAGCATTTAAATTCTGCTTTGCACACTCTAACATGTCGATCATAATTGTCTTTGCGATTTAGTACCTTTTCACAAATATCGCAACGAAAACTATTTGTTTTTTCGTGTACATTTTTATAATGTCGCTTGAAAGAAGAGCTGTTACAAAACAACTTGTTACATATAGCACAAAATGTCTGCATAATTCACAGTCGTTCATTCAAATGACATTGAACACCTAATTAGACAATGAGTACATTTTCCTCAGTCTTATATAATACATCATTAGTCATACACATGCATTACATTATTTTACATGTAATCTTTTTCCGGGTTATGACTGAATTCGTCATGTTATCCGAAAGTAAACAATGACGGATCCAGGGTTGGCGCACCGAACGTGCCCCCCCCCCCCCCCCCCGTTTGAATTTTGTGTATATAAAATTTATATATGTTCATTATCCCAAAAAAAAAAAAAAAAAAAAAAAAAAAAAGGAAAAAACTTTTCTTATTTGTAAAAATGTGTAAGCTTCCGAGGGATTCGTCCCGAATCCTCATTTCATTTCCCCTGGATATTAGATATTTACCATAATAGGACACTTAAATTATAACATGAATTGAAAAAAAAAAATTCTATTAATATTATAATTATTAATATTTTATATTTTTTGGGTAACTCTCAAATTTATCATTTCAGACCATGGAGCAGGAAACGGACGTTGAGCGACGCTTGGCGTCGCTCGAAGAAAAAATGGCGTCCCTGGAGAGGGAGCTAAAAGGAAGAAGGGTGCTGCGCAAGAAGTGCAGCACATGTAATTAAAGACACATTCGACTATAGTAGCCACACCAGTTCGGCGTTTACAACGAGTGACGAGATATGGGTACTAACCATGCAAACTAGAGAGACACAAAGACACTGTATATAGTTATTACTTTAAACGAGATAAAGTGTACATATTTTCATGCGGATTGTTTTTTTTTTTTTTTAATTTTCTTGAAATATGAAAAGATAAAGTGAGCTTCTTATTGTGCACCGACGGGAATTTCGACAAAAAATATGTTTTTGTATTATAATGATTAAAAAAAAATAAAGTGATGTATACTTGAATAAAATCGTTTGTTTCTTTCAATTTGATTAAATGCATTGAAGAGAAATAGAAATAAAATGATAGTTTAGTTAGGTAATTAATGAATGAGATTTAAACCAAATAAGGTGAGATATGGGATTAAAAAAAAAAATAAATGCGGATTAACTCTATTGATGTGTTGTTCCAGTAGACGATACATGTAGTGTCAGTGAATGAAAAAGAAAACACGTTAATTAACCAACAGACATTATTTACACAGATAAATCTATTAAGTTATTTTTGTAATAAACTCAAAACTATCACTTAATTTGTTACAATGGAATTGTTGTTGGAAAGGATGTTATTACACCTTCTCAAACTGACTACCCGTGTAGCATTTGAGTAAATCAGAGTAATAACAAACTAAACAGATTTCTTATAAAAAGCCCTGTATTAAAACTCGACCAGTACAGAACCTCACTCTCTTACGAACTCCCCCACCTCCCCCCCAAAAAAAACAAGAGGCCCAAGGGCCTTAACGGTCACCTGAGTATAGTACAACAATTTAGAAATTAAATACACTGATAGATGAAGCATTGTTGCTCTAAAGCAAGAGAAGTAGGAAGATCAGGATCAACAAAATAATTAGTCTGGTATTCAGTATCAACTCATAAATTAAGTTCTAATCTGTCCCCCACTTAACACTATCACATGCAGACTATTAACAAACTGTTAGTGCTTCTGTACTATTTTTAAACCCATATTAAGACCTCTAGCATTGACCTCTCTTATGGTCTTAGAAGAACTTTTAATAAGATAAGTTATTTTGGTCTCATTTTTATTTATCTATTACTTACAGGTCTACCTGATAATTAAAACTAAGAAAGTACTTTTTTAATTATACGATAAACATTCTTGCATAATTATCTTACTCTATTAACCTTTCAAATACATTATTTACAGTGATTAATTATCAAAGGTGAATGGAAAAGGGGAATAACTTCTCTCAGTAGAATACAAATTAATAGAGCCCTGCCCAGGACTAGAATGCTTAGACGAATGGTCCAGATGTTTAAAAATCTGGTAGAAATACGCTTACTCATATCATTTAAACTTTTACTCAGTTTGCTTCCGATATGCCCAGAAGCAGAGAAGAATTTCACAGGTACAATGCATTTTCACTACAGATTCAACAAAGCCTTACCCTAACACCAGAACCCAAGACCAAGGGTCAAGAAATTTACAAATTTGGAAGAGTTACCCTCATCATCATAACTATGGACTTCAAAGAATTAACACTTTTCCACTATATTATCAAAAGCCCCCCCCCCCACCCCCCATTATGCCAGAACCCCTGACCCTTAGGACCACAAGATTTAAAAATTCTGTTCGAAGCTCCCATTTTCATCATAGTTAAGCAATTTATTTATCAGCTCAACACTAAGGAGCAGACAGGATTAATTAATGATTAATTAATAGAATTAATGCTTTTTCACTATATAATCAATAGACCCCCCCCCCTCCTCAAGAACCCCAAAAACTGAGGCCATATATTTAAAAATTTTGGAAGTGGCATCCTTGTCTATCATAATCATGCACTTAGTTTGTTTAAATAATCTCCAGTAGCAGAGAAGAAGATTTTCAAAGAATCAATGCAATTTCAATATAATCAATAGAACCCCGCCCTAACACCAGAACCCCTGACCCTGGGGCCATGAAATTCACAATTTTTGAAAAGGCATCCTTATGCATCATAACCATGCACTTAGTTTGTTTAAATAATACCCAGGAGCAGAGAAGATTTTCGAAAAATTAAAGCATTTTCACTATATAATCAATAGAGCCCCGCCCTAACACCAGAACCACTGACCCAGGGGCCATGGCTTTCATAATTCTGGAAGAGGCCCACCTCCTCATCATAACTATGTACTTAGTTTATCACCTTAATGCCCAGGAGCAGAGGAGAAGATTTTCAAAGAATTAATGCATTTTCACTATATAGTTGATAGAGCCCCGCCCTAACACCAGAACCCCTGACCCTGGGGCCATGAAATTCACAATTTTGGAAGAAGTACTCTTGCTCATTATAACTATGTACTTAGTTACTTTATTAAATATCCAGAAGCAGAGAAGAAGATTTTCAAAGAATTAATGCATTTTCATGATATAATCAATAGAGCCCCGCCCTAACACCAGAACCCCTGACCCAGGGGCCATGAAATTCACAATTTTTGAAAAGGCACTTTTGCTCATCATAACTATGTACTTAGTTACTTTATTTAATACCCAGGAGCAAAGAAGAAGATTTTCAAAGAATTATGCTTTTACACTATATAATTTATAGAGCCCCGCTCTAACACCAGAACCCCTGACCCTGGGGCCATGAATTTAACAATTTTGGAAGAGGCACTCTTACTCATCATAACTATGTACTTAGTAACTTTATTTAATACCCAGGAGCAGAGAAGAAGATTTTCAAAGAAATAATGCACTTTCACTATATGATCTATATAGCCCCGCCCTGGGGCCAGAACCCCTGACCCTGGGGCCATGAATTTCACAATTTTGGTAGAGGGCTCAATGCTTATTACAATGATTCCAACAGTTTGACTGCTTGATGTCCAGGAGTAAAGAAGAAGATTTTTAAAGATTGCATTATTTTTGGTGGTTTTAGCCCCACCCCTCAGGCCCCAGGGGGGCAGGGACCATGAAATTCACAATTTTTGTTCCCCTTCACCCATAGATGCTATATACCAAATTTGGTTGAAATTGGTTGAGCGGTTCTAGAGAAGAAGTTAAAAATGTTCAAAAGTTAACGCACGACGCACGTCGACGGACGAAAATAGATAGCAATAGGTCACCTGAGTGACTCAGGTGACCTAAAAAAATTGAGCAGTAGAAAAAATGAACAGACCGGAGAGGTGAGGTGGGGTTACATGTACGCCCGCTTTCCACTTACGTATTTTGAATGTAGACTCTGCTGCGAAGAGAAATGTATAAGCTATATATGCTATACATGCAAGATAGCTTGTTGCATGGCGTGTTCCCAGCGTTTGAAGAAGTCCCGTGGATGTCCTCTCTGCAGGAGCAGAACAACACCTGGTAAATTATTATGATTGTTAATTGGTGTACAGTAGTGTGGCATAGATTTTCCCTTTTAAAATTTTATCATTATTTTTTTTTTCTCTTTCAGACCCTGCTTCAATTTAAATTTCATTAAAACAACGAATGGAGGGGGGGGGGGGGGTTAGGGTTTATTCTACCTTTAATTTAAAAGTAAATTTATTACACTATATTAATATACATGTATATATATAATATTTTTTTTTACTTCTCATTAACCATTGGAGCTGTCTAATATGTTAATTTTACTCTTGGTTGATCATACATAAACTTGGAATCACCTTACTACTGGCACAAGAATTAATCACAACACTTTGAATTTTTAAGTGAAAAAAAAACAAAACAAAACAAAACAAAACAAAAAAAAACACTATGATAAGGACAAATTTCGTTTCTTGACTGCTAAAAACAAGATTTTATTTCATATCACAACACTTTGAATTTTATACTATAAATAAATAAATATTTTTTAATTTTGTACAACTGTACACTTTCTGAAGATCTAAGGTCTTCAGTTGGATGCAGATTATGTAATTTGTTCTCTTGCTCGTCTCATGTCTCCGGCTGGCCACCTGCTATACACAAGTCTCTAGTACGACCAGTGTAGATTATGCAATCCCCTCGCCGGGTCTTTGATGTCCCAGCTGCCCGCTTACGCTTGACTGATTGCGAGGTCAGTGTGTTTACCCAGAATTCCGCGCACCCCACGGAGCAACAATATCACTGTCTCAGAAATAATTGAAGGAGAAAGATCATTAAGATGTACGGGTGGATTTGTTCGACGTTTTGCATTGGGTTAACGACAGGGTGTGAGCGAAAGGAAGAACTCTTGAGATGCAATGATGTAAAAGATGCGATGAATGCCATGAAGTCAGGGGATGTAGTGATCATCCGCAGAGTTTTGAAGGGAGACAGACCTATTGACTATACATCCGGCGACATAGCCAAGGTCCAGGTCCTCCATTCAGAAGTAGACTGTCGCCACTTCCACGCCAACTCCAAAACAACAGTCATCTTAGCGGACAAAGTTTGCGAGGTAACTTTAACAGTATTGCATAAATTAAACAATTATATTTATCTTGATTTTTTTTTAATTATTTATTTTTTCTTCTTCTTCAAATGCAACAAATTTAGATTATTTAAGATTTTTTTTGTCTTTTGCCCTGCTTACAGAGGTCGGAATTGTCAGAGACGATTACAGTGAGTCAGATGGCAAACACAACAACCCTGGCGATGGAGACAGTGGCCGTTAGTAAGTTAACCTTTTTAAACCTATACAATTAAAAAATGAATTCTTTATATTTAGATTTATAAGAATGAAAGTAAAGAAATAAAAATTTTACCAAATATAGAATTAAATTTTAAGTATTGGCGTTACGTATTTCAGACGCTCCTTGGATTATAGCCGCTGGTATTTCGTCAGTGATAGTGATTTGCCTCGGCTTGTGTGTGTGCACTATTTTCATTATTCGGAAATGCGTGAAACGAAGAGGGATCACTAATCGCATGGACGATATATCAGAGACAGAATTCTCTAGAGAATTTTCTAGTGAATTTCACCTAGTGAAATTAGATTAAAAGTAATCTTATTTTTTTTTTTGGTTATAGTGCTTTATGTGACTTTGAAGTG